GAGAGGTTGTTTGGTTATGCAAGAATATTTTTATTTTATTTTAAAGCCTCGCAAAATGAAAATATGTCATAGAACCAGGACTCAAAAAACCCAACATTTGCCTTCTTCAATAACTTTGCAGATATTGTTTTGGGGTAAAAAAAATTGTTATAGGTTTGTCCTTTGAAAGTATATTGAACTTTAACATTTAAAAAATGCAAGTGTATCCTTAGGCAGCATTCCTTGAAGGTTAAAAATGTCTCATACAAAGGTGATGATTATTACTGTCATAAAAAAGTTTCTAAAGTTTTATTGAAAAGCTTTTGCTTGACATCTTTACTTTTGGGCATTAGAATCTAAGGTTTTTGAGTGAAAAAAAGTCAAGTTTCATAAATCAGAAATAATTCTAAGGCAAAACAAATTCTTAATTGGGTGCATAAAATCAAGAGTGGATTTCCAGAAATACAGAAATTATTCATCTCCCCTCTTGATTTTTATTTTATTCTGCTTTGCTTTATTTTAAATGATCAATTTAAATTAAGAGTAGTTCCCAAATGCATACATTTTATTTTATTTTATTTTATTTTATTCGACCAGGAGATGGCAGTACCTCGTAAATAGTTCCAAGAATCTAACAAGAAGAAACGTAGAGGAAGCAGAAGTTTGTGTCCGCTGGTTTTATGTTTGTCCAGTTTTTCATTCATTTTGAAAAGGATAATTTTAAGCTCCATATTTTATAAAACGGGGCCATTATTATCGTTTTATAACAAACTGATTTATATAGGCGCCTTAAGCAGACCAGAGACAGAAGGAGCGGTGTCTTCATATCGGCGCTAGCTAGCTGCTGCAGAAGCTGCTTTGAAGTAAAAGCATCTCAGTTGTAGAGAGTGAAGACTCCAGCGCTGCAGTTTGGATGAAAAGTACAGTGGACACCAACATGATTAAGGAAAACCCGTGGAAGATACCTCCTAACGCCCCTGCCTGTATGGAGAAGCACCTGTGCGCGGCTCAGTACCGAGCAGGTAAGGAGCAGCTAGCCGGGATCACTGGAGGAAAAACACGTGGTTTTGCTGGGTCGTCATGTTTACAGTTCGGCAGTTTTGCTACATCCATATGATAAATTATGATTAACTACAACGTGCCGACAGTTTTCAAGAACATCTGTGCTCACATAATGTGGAACGGAAAGATCTTTTTCAATATATTTGTTGTTTGCTCTTCTCTACAGACGGCACGCTGCTGCTGGGAGCCTCCAGCCTCTCTGGCAGAAACTGGCAAGGATCCGTTTGGATCTACAGCGAACCGGAGCAAGCCCCCAGCGAGGGGTTCTGCAAAGCTGGTGTGCAGACTGAGGCTGGGGTCACAGATGTCCAGTGGGTGGCTGAAAAGGGAGTGGCTGTAGCCTCAGATTCGGGTAAGGCCCAACTTCACAGAACCTGGCTGAACCACGGTGACTTCAGACTGTGATGAAATTGTTTTTTTTTGGTTATTTGTTCTGTGCAGGTGCCCTGGAGCTCTGGGAACTGGCAGAGGATGAGCGCCTGTTGATGAATCGCTTCACCAAATATGAGCATGACCACATTGTCACCACTGTGAGCCCCATCACAGGAGAGAGCAGTGCTGTCACTGGCAGCATGGACTGCAGGTTAGAGAGTAGTTCACACATAGAGCGACAGGTTTACAGGGAAGCATGTGTCGTAGATAAATATATAGAGATGTTTATGAGCTTTCTAACATTTTGTCACGTTAAAAACACAAACTTTAACAGATTTTACGTGATAGACCGATACTAAGTGCAGCAGAATTTTGAAATAGAAGTAATATCTAAATGTTTTGTTTTTATCAATTACAAATCAAGCATTTGATGTTTGACTTGTTGGTATTCAGCTTCATCAGCACATTGTAGACCCACTATTGTCTGCCATGACAGCTGGAAGGTTTTGCGGTGTGTCTCAACTGGTTTTGTACGTCTAGAGAAATTGTATTTTTGCCTGCTCATATTTCCAAAATACCTCAGTCATATTTGATGAGTGTTTCTGAACTTCCATTTTCATATCATGTGATATGAAAATCATAGCTGAATTTACGCTTGAGATTAAATTACACACTATTTACAAATTAGGTGACTTTAAAGGGGAATTTTGTTGTACTTGATTTTATTTAGTGGTGTGAGATAAAAGGGTGAAGCAACCTGCACTTCTGAGATTTAAATTTTTTATTTGAAATACAAGTTATCATTTTTGGATACTTTCCCAACAATTTTTTTTTAATTTAAAATTTGACTGACTTAAAAAAAAGGACGATTATTAGAAAACAAAACTTTAATTTGCATTTTTATCAACTTCACTTTTTTCCCCTTTCCTCTTTTTTGTGTTTTCTATTCATCCATTTTATTCCTGTATCTTTTAAACAGAATTAAAGTCTGGGACCTCAGTCAGGAGACAGTCGTCACCACCTACAATGGTAAGAGAACATCTAAAAATCCACTTTATCAAAAAAATAAACTCAATGCCCAGTTGAAATCAAATTGTTTTTTATTCAGACAACAAGTTGGCACGGTTGTAGTAAATTTCATCAACTGTTTAAAAGTGAATTAATCTAGAATGTAGTTTGAATACAACGAATGTCTAGACCTTCTTTGTTTTTCTCCTTGCAGTTCACACGCAGCCTGTTAATTGTGTTGCCTGCAGTCCTACAGATGAGTCTCTCTTCGTCTCCTGTGGCCAAGTAGGATTCCTTTCAATGTCGTGGTTTCATTTATAGTAATGTGTCGAGGAGAAATCATAGTTATTTAAGCCAACCTGCAGAGTCTGACACACAAAGGAGGAAAAAAAATGTCCATAAGGTTAATAGATTGTTCTAGTTTGAACTGCATCGACGTACATGCTGTTAGTTGTTGGTTTACTGGTCAAATATTGATTAATTTAGAAATAAATAAATAAAAATCTTAATATCTGACTTGCCATTCCTGGATTAGATCAGTGATAAATAAGTCAATTCCAGTTAACTTAACGGTTAAGTTAAGTTTTTATGTTTGACAAAATTTGGTTTTCATCAAAAGTTAGTTCTTCGTTCAAAATCTGTTTACTAGGGTGTTTCCTTAGATAAAGATGCTCCTCAAATGCAGAAGAAATATGGGGAAAATGAGATGGAACAAATTATTTTAATTAGTAAGAGCAGTTTTATTTATTCAACATGAACTACTGTAAAACTAAACCCTTCAAGTTGAGGAGTTTTCAGTGTCGTTTGCCGTTTCTCAGGATGGCCGTGTGTTGATGTGGGACAGGAGGAAGCCAGATAAACCAGCCTCAAGAATAGGTAAGCAGGCTACTGCAGCATGTTGTCTTAAACTGGACTACCTTCTTGACACCTCGGCTTTGCAGTGAAAGGTGATGCTCTTTACTTCTGTGGTTTGTTGCAGATGTCGAGTTTCCCAGTTGCTCTCCCACTACTGCTGTTTGGCACCCCCACCAGAGAAGCACTATTGCTGTTGGTAAGGTCCATCAACAGATTGATAACTGACAGAAGCTCAGTTCTCCTTCCCTCCTTGTTTTTTTTTTTTTTTCTTGCTTCTTCACATTATCATTCTCGTTTTCTTTCAGGCGATGAGCTGGGCAATGTGTCTGTCAAAGATTTCCTGGGATCAGAACCGGCACGGGTGAAAAAAATACACAGCCGGAGAGTTAACAGCCTGGCCTTCTCCACAAATAGGTGAAGATTTAATGTGCCAAAATGTACTTTTTGCCGTTTCCTTTCCCCTCTTCTCCTTATAAATAAACTGTTTTTTTTTATTTGTTTTTTTTTTATCCACCCTAGTGTCCCTTTGCTAGCCTCTGTTAGTGACGACTGCTCCCTTGCTGTTATGAACTCTGAACTGCAAGAAATGTGAGTCTTTTCAGTTCACTTAGTAACTCTTGTGTTCTGCACCAGACAATAAACAAACCGTGTTTTTTTCCCCCTACAGATTCAGAGATCGGCGACACCAGGACTTTGCTAAAGGTGTGTGTTGGCTTCATGGTGATTCCAACAGGCTCACGACTGTAGGCTGGGATCACCTCGTGCTTCACCACACCGTCACTCCAAATACCGAGTCCTCATCTTAGATACATATATGGTCACATGTGGCATATCACAGTGTGTCCAGATCAGTGGTGTCCTACGTCAGTCCTTGGGGGCTGGTGTCCTGCGTGTTTTTGTTATTATTTCCCTGGTTCAACACAGCCGAGTCAAAAGACGGCTCGTCTGCAGTCCTCTGTAGAGCTTCGACATCCTGGCAGGACCCCAGATCTTGAGGTCTGGAGCTGGACACTCATTGATGGTTGAATATAACATCTCATTTAGGAGAAGTGAATTAAAATGTCCAACTCACAGACATGTGCACATTATTTTGTGTAAGGCTCTTCTTCTCTGTCTGGTCATTCTGGTTCATGTTGTGAAGCATCTCCATATTTGCACCATAGACTTTTACATTAAAGGAAAGCTAAAGCTGTTATGACAATTGTTTTATTTGTTGAAATGTTCAAACGGAAGGTATATAACTTTTATAATTTTTTTATTTATTTTTTTTACATATTTCTTAAAACTTTCACTATGTTGTGACGTATTATCTATAAGACAGATAATATGTGAAAAACCTGAGCTCCCTGCTTCCTCTCTGTTATCCTGCAGCCCTCTGCAGAACTTCATCTCTGTCAGAAATAATTAATCAAAGCCAGGAAGAAGGTCTTAGCGTTTCCTTGCATAATAGTCATTGCGTAATCATAATGCAATGACAATAGCTTGTTTTTTTTAACATTATTGACAGCTGGTAAAACATCTTAGTTTTGATCTTCTCTTTGCTTATAACAACTTTTCAGGTTTGTATCTGTAGTTTAAGCAACGAAAACCCTATTAGGGGCCGTTTATCCAAAATGAGTTGATATAGAAATACATTGAAAAATATTTACCGGAATAGGTATCAATTCAATAGATTATATTGTTAAATATTTCCAAAGAGAACAAAAACAATAAAAACAAAGAAATGTTCATAAATGTTTATAATTTACACAAAAACATCTACTTTAAACTTACTATGTACAGTGGTAGTAGTGTAAATGTAACCATATCAATAATTAATCATAGGGTGAGCACAATATTTCTAAAATCAATAAATATAAAAACTACATGCAGCTGGTTGCCTAAATTGACAGTCTGCTTTGTTCTGGTGGACTTATGTACATGTAACAGAGGATGGACAGAATGGCGACGGTGTGTGTAATTCCAGCTTATACACTTATTTTATACATTATATTTTACATCCAATATTTGAGAGAACAACATAATTTTTTTATCATCCATATAATTTACATAAATATAGACAATAACCCTTATAAATTTTCATGAAAAAAGATGCACAGTTCATGGCTTCTCCTGCCAGATGCCACTTTTTTGACTTGTCGGGTCTAAATTGGACTGATTTATCGTAACACATAAAAGACAAAAGAACATACTGCAGGTTTTTTGATCTTCCAATATTATCACCCAAATTTACAATATTATACCCGTTTATGCACCACGTCATATTTTCTCAAACTTTACCTGATCTGTATTAAGTTTGAGCAGTGCGTCAAAGCCAATGTTTTTGGTCTTTTAGTTAAGAGGGTCAGGACAATGTTTATTAGCAATCAATCAGAGCCAATTAAGGAAAATTGGCGGATTGATTTGTGCATCTCTAAATAAAACACAGATAGGATTAAACACACAAAAACAAATTACATATAAAATATCCATATTACTGTGAGACTTCTAGAAAGAAAACACGCTGCATTTTAAAAATGGAACAATCATCTTGACACTTGACAGCATGAACTTCCTAATTAATAAAGAAAGCACTTGTAACTTCATAGCTAACTGAAAAATTGCACAAATTACTGCTAAAGTAAAATCACATATTATTTAGGCCCTAGATACATGACACTGGATATTTTTTTCTAAAAAAAAAAAGAAATCTGAACCGTCACCTCATTCCAGTCAAAAGAGGTGTAATACCTATTCTGCACCCATAGGTGGTGATGGACAACATTAAAATGTAAAAGAAAATCCTGAGCATGGCTGAAGCATTTCTAAGGGTAATTGGAACTTCTTCCAGCAATATTTCATGTTTAATGAAAGCGGTTAGATGTACAAAAACCCAGAGAAATTGCTCAATTGTTGGTGAAATTTCTGACACAAAAAGTCAGGGTGGGCATGTTCAAAGGGGACTTTGGTGTCAGTTTTAATTTTTTTTTTATTTTCACCAAAACTCAGTTTGTGTAGTATCAGGTGTTGCAGACACAGGAAGAAATCTCACAAAATATCCATGTTATGGCCTTGGCATATGCTATTTTATATGCAGCAGGTTTGTTCTACAGTCAAAGACCTTTAGGAATCCTCTTTACTTGCAAGAGTTATGGGCTGTTTAGTTCCAGGCCTGATGGTGAAAGTCATCCCATACTTTTGTCTTGAACGCATCCCATTTCTGTGGAGAAGAAAACATGATGAGTGATTGCAGTGATTAAAGGCTGGAGTTGCTCACAAAGATATGATCTCCCTCCAGGTAGCCCTGATGTACTCACTTGGTGGGACTCTTCTCTTGTATACTCTGGTATTTGTTGATAATTTTGGTCTCCAACTCTTTCATGTCCAAAGATGCTGTCTTGTTGGCGGGGGCAGGTGGGTTTTTGGTCCCCTGTTTGGGTTGTGGCACTGCTGGTACCTTGTTGTCTTCGTCAGAAAAGCCAGTACTCCAGTCATCAGAATTGTGCTCCGACTCATTAACGGGGGCCATTTTTTGGTCCATTACCAACATCTTCTTCTGTAAAATACTAAGGAGGGTGGCCTGGTTTTGTGAAAGATTGGATGGTACCTGAGTAGAGGGTGGATTGGTTTTAGTTTGGACTGGTGGCTTTGGTTTGACTTGTATGTCAGAAGGTGGGAGCTTTGGCGGTGAAGGAGCTTGAGCTTGAGTTTTGGCTGGGGCTTTGACTGGGGCTTTTACTGGGGCTTTAGCTGGTGTTGGAGCTGGAGCTTGAGTTGGGCCGGTAGCTTTAGCTGGGGTCTGAGTTGGGGCGGGAGCTTTAGCTGGGGTCTGAGATGGGGTTTGAGTTGGGGCGGGAGCTTTAGCTGGGGTCTGAGTTGGGGTTTGAGCTGAAGCTTTAGGTGGTGTTGGTGCTTTTTTTGTGGGGGGATCGGGCGGACGCATAGAGGGGGGTTGTTCTGGTATTTGACCAAAGTCACCAAACTCTGGTGGTGGGGGCAGAAATGGCAAATTCATATCCTGTTTAGGAGTATTATTTTGCACATCATGAGATTTTAATTGCTTTTCTTCTGCTCTTTGCTTCTGCTCACTCAGGTTACTTACAGCTGGAGATGAAAGTGCTGTAAATTTACTTAAAACTGGATCAGTTGATAGTTTCTGATCTTTGGCCAGTGCAGTCGAACCCTTGGGTGTTTCTGGAGCCTGAATCGTTGTTTTAGTTTCTGCAGGCCCAAGAGTTGCACTCTCCTGTAGTCTATTCTGACTTGGTAGAACTGAAGATGTTGATCTTGGTATGACAGTGAAGGAATTAGGACTTGTTGGTTCATCTCTCCTGGTGCTGCTTTCGCGGGACAAAGATTGAGTGTTTTTCTTTTTCTCTCTTTCCTTAGCTGCCTTCAGCAGAGCGAACGGCGATGTTGAAGAGTGTTTGGGTTCGTTAGCCTTCAGGCTGTCCAGTTTGCGATCCAATAGAGGGCTGAAACTGCGGCTTTGACCTGGAGATACTTCCAGTGTGCTCTTGGACTCTGAATTGATCTGGACATTAGTCGTTCTATGCAGTGGTGGAAGCTGGAGGGGTTTAGTTATCTCTGACTGAGGTAGAACAGTGTCTGCTTTAGCCTCCGTTGGAGACTTTATTTTAATCTCTGTCTTTGCCTCTGTTTTAGGTTCTTCAGGAACTTTAGGTAATTCAGGTTGTTTAATTTGTAAAGCCCCTTTGGGTTGTACAGGTTTGGGCTCTGGTTTAGGTAGCTGAGCAGCTTGAGGGGCTTTTCCATCCATCTGCATCCCAGCAGGAGCTGACCCGTTCCAAAGCACTGTGTGCTTTGGAGGATCATGAACCTTTGTTTTGTTCTGGGAATTGAAGGTGGACAATGTGGAGGTGGGCACTTGGGGAGGCTGTGCTGGGGGCTCAGCAGTGGACACCGAAGACGATCTGATAGGTTTTGGAGGTGGGACCTTATGACTCTTCTGCTGCTTTTCAGCAGGTGGTTGCGGAGGGGCAAATTTTGGACGTTCTGGCACTTGGGTTGGCGGTGGAACAGAGACAGGTGCTGCTGACCCAGATCCAGTAGAACAGGTATTCGGAGGTTTTGGAGGCGCCATTGGTGGTGGTTTCAAAAGGGACAAATCCTCCTCCACCACAGACGGTGGTTTTGGAGCAGGCATGGATGGAGGCTGGAGGGCCACAGGATCTAAGCTGTTTAGGTCACCCATGAAGTCTGGTGGAGGAGGGATGAAATTCACGGGAGGGGGTGGAGGGGCCGTTGAAGGAGGAGGAGGAGGAACAAAAATCTTCTCTTCCATGTGGCCTGGCACGGATACAATAGATCCATTGGATGAATGATCTCCAGCACCTGTAAAAGACAAGAGATAAGAAGAGCAAAGAACACAGAGCGATTAACTCTGGAAGGAGAATATTTAGCAGGCTTTGATTCTCAAAGCAATTTCTTTCCATTGTGTTTGAAGGTATGTAGGTAAAGATGGCGGTGTAAAATTTCACTTATGTGAAGCCTCAAAATATGGAAAAACTGTCTGACTAAATACAGTCTCCTCTATCTAATTGAGTTCACAGCTGCGTTGAAATGAACTAAGTCCAACAGAGAGGGAGGAACGAGGTCATGGAGAATGCTACATATTAGGCCAACATTTCTAAGTAAGTTGTTAGATCATGAAGAGAACTGGGCCTAGTTCTGAGCCCTGTGGGACGGACACAGGTCTGTTGATGAGAATATGGATTTACATGTACTTTTATCTGTATTTAGCATTCTTAACTCTGATTCCCATAAGTAAAATACTATGAAACCAGTTGCCTTCAGAAATCATCTCAATCAACAAATAGTTTAATTTAATCTCGGTATAAATATAGCTGTTCTGTGAAGGTCTCAGAGGCTTGCTAACAAACATAAACAAACAATCAGCACCTTGAAGATGAAACTTAAAATGAGGCTACGTATAAAACAATATCCTAAACTTTGAACACGCAATCAAGCACTGTTCAGTCAATCCACTAAAAAAAGGGAACTGCATAGTACAATTTCAAACCTGCTAAGGCATAAGTCATCTGATTAGTGCTCTTTATGGGATGGGAAATGCATAGAACTAAGTACAAGGCAATCCTGGAAGAAAACCTTGTAGAAGCATGGTTGAGACTACAGTGAATGTTGGCTATCCAGCAGTATAATGACCCTAAATATTCAGCCAAAACTATAATAAATGGTTTAGACCATGTGTCAAACTATTTTTCAAAAGAATTCACAATGATTTTAGTCTTTAGATCCGAAAGGCCAGCAGACGTACCTAAAAAGAGCTGAATCTGCAATTGCAAAAAATAAAATAAATGTTCCTATGAAGTAATGAGAGCTGGAGACAGATATTTATTTGTAAAACAATTACTTTATGTTGGTCTATCAATTAAAAATTTATTTTTGTGGTTTTGCACAACTTTGTAAGGTTTAAAAAGAAAAAAAAGGGATATTTGCAAAAATATGAAAATCTGAGACACATTTCACATTGGCATGCTGCAAATGTAAATTTTAATTAACATTTCTTTCTAAACCGGAAAGTAATCTAAAAGGTAGAAAAACACTCCCTTTGTGTAAATTTGCTCTCCATCTTTTATGGCCATTTGGACTTTTTCAGGAGAGGTATTGAGCAACAGCCTGGACAAACATTTACATGACATGGATGTTTCCTTTATTCTTATCCCTGTGATCCGTCAGCGGAGTCTAGAGGGGCCACAAATTGACCTGCTATAACAATGACTAAAACAGGGCACCATTTACTTTGGTAGTTTAAACCTTAAGTATGTAGAAGGTATTATTTAGATGCTCACCTGTCCCATTGACTATTGGGCCATTGGCAGGGGGAAGTTCAGGGACTTTTGGAGTTGGGACAGGAAGTCCTTGGAAGGTTTCAAACGAGAACTGCAAAAAACAAAATCCAATCATAAAATTATTGAACTTCCTGTCGTAAGAAGCAGACAGCACAAGAACTGAAGTCATAAGTGTAGAAACCGTACATTCTGTGCTGCAGGCAAATTTTTCTTTACTTGTTTTGTTGGCAAGTCTTCATTGTTAAAGGTGAACAAACCAGTTTTTAACTATTACGTGGCCTGAGTGTTGCAATATTGAAAGTGCGATGCATTATTGGCATAAACACCATAAAATTGTCAACCATGTGATTTTTTTATGAGCTTTCACACATTGCATGGCATCCAACAAATGTCTGTTTTGCGTTTTATGCGTGGAATACTGCACTCCCTAGTGCAAAAATGCATGGCCTTGTCTTTCAGGATCGTCATAATGTAATCATAGGTGGAACGCCATAGTTTCACATTCTTTGCTTATGAGGAACTTTGGCTGAATCAGAGGATCCACCTATAATTCATAACACTGCCTGTTGTCAAAGAATGCCTTGAGTTAGGAAACTCACAGATGCGTGTGTGTTTGTTTGTGTCTGTTTCTATGAGTTAGGTGAAAAAACTGACACAGAGAGGGGCGATGCTCACATCATGGAACCAAAAACAAACTCAGACTGTGTTGACACAATAGAGATCCTCAAGATCTAAAGCTGCAAATCACTCCAGCATCACTTGGCATGCTTTTTTTTTTGTTTTTTTTACTGAGTCTCTCGGTGAAAGTCATCTCTTTGCAGATTGCAAAATCGTCTCTTGTTGCTAAAACATGTTATATGAAGTTTTGCTTGTATGGATTATATGTGAATAGGTTTGGGTTGGTTATCATACCAAGGTCTTAAGCGGCTAAAGTTTCAAAACTGCAAACATTTTTTTGTTTTTTCTTACACTGTTCAACTGCTTAAAGACAGAAATGGATAGTTGCATTGACAATAATCTCCCATATGTTGCGGCCTCATTGTCAGACAATTGAAATATGGCAACAAACAAGAATGACAAGAATGACGAGAATTCCCTAACAAACAAGAATGACAAATTTAGAGCTTTGGACATTTTTTCAACTGGAAAAACATGAGCACTTAAGTGTCCGTCCTAAAATACCAAGTCCTGCCACTAAATTCAGCTTTCCAAATAGTGTTGGAAAACAACAATCTACCTATAATAATCAATATGTCATTAAATGTGAAACAAGAGTAACATGCTGATTGCCCTCGGCCCCACCTGTTGCTGTGGACTGCTGTTCAGCAGGCTGAAAGAGGGCGAACACACTTTTTTCTCTGTTTCACTCAAGAAGACTGGTTCGAAACATGTTCTTTCATTTGAAAAAAATAAATAAATTATGCAACCCAGAAAGTTGATGTCGTAGCAGGAATTGAGGTCGTTATTCAAGCTTAAATTTTCTTTCTTCTTGATCACTGTAATGCTCTTTCATTAGCTCAAAAGCTCAAGCAGACGACATAATTACTATCTGAATGTGTTTGAATAGACTGCCCACTTATTTTAGAATATATTTTAAAGCCCCTCTCTAACTTTCAGGGCGTTTTCATGGTCCATCTCCTTCTTAGGGTAAAACCTAAAATTATTTCCAAACCTGGCAGATTTAGGTTCAAAGTATTTATTTATTTTTTTTATTCATTTGCGCAACATGTTTCCTCAAACTGCAGGCTTTAGATTGGCTTAAAAAGAGTCCCAGTTTGAATCTGAGAGTTAAAGATTAAAGTGATGGAAAGGAAAACTTGCAACCTCAAATATTTGGAGCAGGAGGATAAAATATTAAAATACCAGAGGAAACATGCAAAAATCTGGTCAGCAAATACAAGATGGATTTGATTGCTGGAATGCAAATACATGCTTTCCCTGATTACTGAGAGGGTTATACATTTTTTTACATGCTATATTTTAAATGAAGTGTAAATAAAAAAGACATGCCGTATATTTCAAAATTGAAACATCTTTTAGATGGCTTTATTATTTTATGAGAGACACCCACTTCATTTTCTGTCAGAAACAGGCTTATGACAGTAATGTCAGGGGCGTATGAGTGATGCTGGTCTTCACAGTATATTACACAATGATTAAAGTTAAATACTCCAACTTGAGCTCTCTGGTCCTCAAGTAAAAAAAAACCTTCTGCTAGTTCCCAGAAGCGGCAGCAACACTCGATGAGATCGTTTCTTTCAGACGATTGCAGCTCAGCTGTGGAATGAGCTTCCCTTTGTCTTTACCTTGAGACTCTCGAAACATTTAAAAAGTAACTAGACATTTTTATTCAGATATATTTTATTTAAAGTCCTATTATGAATTACTGTCTTAGCTTTTGATTATCAGTGTCATTTAATTGTCTTATTCATTAGATTTTGACTCACATGCTTTCTTTTTGTAAAGCAGTCTGTCATTTTTATCCATTAAAAACGCTAAATTAGTGAGCTACTTACTCTCATTAAGGTAGCAGTGTTTTACATTTACAATTGAAAAGCTATAAGCAGCATGTCTGTTAGAAATCTGAGCAGAAAGATTAAGCAACAGATTAATATCAGCTTGTTTCACTCGTCTTGAAAAGTGAAAGAGCAAAAACGGGTCCTATTCTATAGAGTAAGCGCTTAGAAATTACAATTAAGTTTAGATTCTTGTTTTGTTTTGTATTTTTTAAAATACATTTAATAAATAACATTATTAATCAATTTTTTAAATTATGCTTTAGTGGGAATATTTGTTGCTTTTCTATTTTAAAAATAATAAAATGCAAAAGTTGATAATTTTATACAGTTTTTATGCACCAGCTCACTGGTGCACAAGCCGTCTGGTCCCCTGCATGTGAAAATTAATCCATCTATCAATGCTGTCAGAGACGTTTTATATCTTCCTAATATCACACCCTGCATTACTCTCCCTTTGCTAATAATCCCTCTCACACAGGCGATCTTTAGGGAGCATAAAGCGTGCCTGGTCACCGGCGGGTGTGTCCGATCCAGTTTGATTTAGTCTCCTCGCTCGGTGCTCTATGAGTCACTTTCAGCTGTCGCAGCGCTCAGAGCTGACCTGCCCCTGCGCCGCAGGGTGTGCCGCGTTCACATGCCTGAGAAACACTCCCAAACAAAAGGGCGAGGTGTGTGAACCGAGTGCAGACGAGCTCTTCATTTGCTCCATGACGAGATAATAGGAGGCCCGTCAGTCGTACGCGCCGCTAACGTACACGTAAATTGAGATTAACGTCTCTAAGATTGCTAAAAATATGCACTCTTGTGCATAAGTGGTGGGCCGGACCTGCGCTACAACATGATGGGATGGTTAAACGATAACAATAAACAAAAGAAACCCTTAGAGATCCTGTAGTTACGTTATATTGTTGCCAAGTCAGACAACTCTTTAGCGTTTTGTTTTTTGCATTGCACAATGTTATTAACTACTCAGTGTACAATCTGACAACCAATTAGTAACTTTATATCGATGTAACGGTATCAAATTGAATAAATTTCATGAGTTCATCTACCTTTTTGTTTCACTCAATTATTAAATATTAATTTTATTCCAAATCATAATTAAAGCTACTAGTCGGTCTTAAATCAGCCAAATATATACTTTGTTACTAACAGAACAAAATGTCACTGTCAGTTTTTGTGTTTATTTTGCTGTAGTCATTATTTATTTATTATTTAGCAAGTCTTCCCTTGATAAGACAAACATCCACATACCCCTGTCATCACACAAGGCGTAAAATAACCAGTCAATGTCTATGAATGTATTTATAGACTCACTAATAGCCTGTCAGTCAGTCAAACAGACAGAAGTTGCTTTGCTAAGTTGAAGCAGTGCAACATCTTGCAAACCACACAAATATTGAAAGTGAGCAGAATCAAAAAAAACATTTACTCATCTTGCGACGTGACACATGCACACACTAAACCAGATGGAACCATGCAAACAGAAATGTAATTACATTTGTCTGCTTCAGTTCCTGTTTGCTTCAGCTTCGGCGCTTTCTTCGTCGTCCGTCGTGACTTGAGGATTATTAGGGTCAGACTCGAACATTTACTGCTGAAATCTTTGCAAATCAGATCCAACGACAGAGAAACTGTCAATATCTCTCAAAACTAACATTTTACTTCCTAATGTCATTCAGTCAGAGCAGCTCTTAAGTATCTTGTGATGTAATCAGTTCAGATCTACTCAAAACAGATAAGCATGTAAGCATGTCTTTTTTTTTTTTCCTTCATGTAGTTTCAAAAAATTTTGTGGAATCCAAAAGTTTGCACCAAGCTGTTTTTGTTGTCGGTGTAAATTTGTTTGTGGAATAAAAATATGCCACTGGTATCTTTAATATTGCAGCTTTAACCTCCACCTGCAATGTATTTCAGTACCAATTCTGAATAATGTCTTCCATAGTAAGATAAGGAGTGATCCTTATCGCATCTACTTGCAGTTATCAACAAGGACAGTCAGTCTGCAGCTCCACTGAAAAATCGTCGCTGAACAAATCTAAAGGTAAACTGATGGGATCATGAAAGAAATGTTTAAAAACTTGCCAAATCTGCCAAAATTATTCAAATCCACTGTTGTCAGTCTTGCAATAAAGTTTCCAAAGGCCAGCTAAATGTACCTAAACACTGGCCAGATGTTTGAGGCTTTTTTAGATTCAGAAACAGAACATCAATGCAAAGAAATGAAGCTTTCCTAAATACTCACAGTATGATGCTTGACGGTGGGTCTGGCCCTCACGTTGGCAGTCCCAGATTCGTAGATTGCAGACTCCGTCTCCTCCAGCACCAGCTGAACACTGTCTGATGAGACATACACAGATTTTGGGGGGCGTCAGATTGCTATACTTTAGGAACTATCCAAAGAAATGTTCATATGACAATTGCTATCGCCCCAACCTTCAATCTAAATAATTTGCTCATAAAGAAGAAAAAGAGGGAGTAGCAGAAGAACCACACATGTGACGGTGAAGAGAAACAACGTGCACCAAAGTGACCCATAAGTGGCTATTAGTCAACTCGACTATCTGAGGTATCGTTTGACTATGACAACATAATAAGCGACACAAAGGAAAAGCTCCGATTGTTGCTTTAAATTACATGTTGCCGCTATGGCTAAGTGAAAGTTCAGCAACAACGTATGGAAAGGGACACAGCTTGTGGTCAGACGTGAGGAAAACTGATGTCAAAGAAGCTGATTTGCATCACTAAGTTGTTTTGCTTAAGTGCTGTTACCTCACCAGTGTTTGCACAGCAAACACTGCAGCACTTGGGCTAGGGTTTGAGCGACGGCAGCGGCGAAAGGTAAAACCAGGAACAAAAAAGAAAATGTCTTCAGGTGTGTTGGGTTCTCACACAGAGCATTCGTCAAGAATATAAAATGTAAACAGTGAGTGTGCTGCAGACAAAAACGCTGAAACATTTCCTTGTCACATTGTTTGCCCAATAAGTGACCGACGACAGATCCTTGTCACTGAAAGGCATTTAGCCTGTACGTCCCTTCGGCTCTTTGTGCTGGAACACTTTCAGCAAACAACGACCAACTAAAGACATTACAGGCACAGAGCAGAACCACGTCTCTTCTCACATTTCCCTCTCTGCTCTGGGACACAATAAGCACAACATGCTGATGATTTTTCTTCTGTTTAAGACCAAAGAATATGATAAAGTCAGAGAAGAATGTGAGGACGGCTGTGGAATGAAAACACTGCAGTGTTAAACCAGTCTAACCAAATGATTAGTTTCCCTATTGTGCCCCATCCTGATTTAAATAGACAAATGTTCTCTCGCTCGTGTTGCACCTTTTGCATAGCAATTCATGCTGCGCTTCCTGTTCTCAGAGGCTGAATTGAGAGACTTACACTTGATCCAACAACATTTTATGAGCACCGGCTTGGATTTCAGCTGCCAGGAGACTGTGAGCACGTACTCAGTTGTCTTTCTTAGAAACTGTTCATTTCATTATCGATCGTGCTCAAGTCCAAGTTAGCGATGTTAGTGGCGCAAATTAAAATCTTCCTTGTTTCATGCAAAAGTTTTAAACATCTGTTTCAACATATCCTTAGCAGAACTGATGTCCATAAGAAATGTAGCTTAACCAGTTTTTAAGTGGGTTGAAAGTTATTGAGGACAAGTTTAGCAAGTTTATTGTTTCAATAAAAATCATTGTTTAATTTTTTATTTTATTTTAGAAGTGATCTCTGAAAGCTAGATTAGCTACTGACCCTCATGCAGGGTTATGCTGTGTTACAGGGCAGGAAGTGTTTGTTGGCTGAAAACAGACACTTCGAAGTGAGTTTGAAAGGTCAAGCAAAGTTTCCGATAAAACTTCTTGGTTGAAGACGTTAAATCATAACCACTCCAGGTCTCCAGAAGGCATGAAGTAAGAGTCAAGAAACATCTATTGTGTTGAGCTACCACTCCTCCACCGATGTTACTTTAATCCAAGAGATTTATGACGAAAACCTTCCCTGTAATTTTTACCTAAGATTTTGGAAGTTTGCACTTAAGTAATACACACAATGAAGAAAAGCTATTGGAGTCACAAGTAAGCCCTTAGGTTACATCAAGCACAAGTATGTTTAGCATGAAAATGTTAAGTTTTAGCTACGCAATGCAAAGGAAGAGGTGGCTGCAGGCAGAAACAAAGGACACATTTTACAAGGTATCGGCATTTATGGATCCAATTAATTGTCAGCAAATGTTAGAATCAAGCATGAAGAAAACTGGAGATGGAAATCCACTGAAATATTTTACTACTGCCTATTTAATATTGACAAATTTGTTTTACTGTTTATTATTCCAGATAAAAGTCCTTATTTCGTCCACAGATTTCATCTATGGTAACTTTTAAAAGAATATGTCAAAGCTACAACCCAGTACAGGATGCATTAACGCTTTTTTGTGCAAGTGATTGTGGCTAGTTTCCCGGGGCGTCGGGAACTGATGGGGCGGCAGGGATAATCTGGAAAAATAAACTGAGTTATGTCCCAGTCGAGATTTCAGTTATTTAATTGTATGTCCGGTCAGTGGGGATTTGGGGGATATTGAGCTTCTGATTAGAAGTCATCCAAAAGATTTTTATCATTTTTTTCCTTTAACATTTACATTTACAGTCATTGTAATGAAAACGTAATAATAGGAATAATAATGAGATCTTCTGTTTCAAAAAAATTTACTTGATTTTTCTTTATTTCTTTTAACAAAGCTCTTTTTTTCAAACATCACCTGATTTTCTCAATAAGTTTCACCATTTTTTAAAACGGTTACACATTTACTCTGGGTTTTCCATATTTAGCAACATGTTTAATTGAAACAGCTTTATTTATTTATTTTTTTTAGAAAATTACCAACTTTGATAGAGGTCTACAAATTTCTGTATGATGGTAGATAGATTAGTTATTTCTTCCATGGAACTTGCATTTTGTTTAATAAATGAATGTGCAAAACTAATTTAGCAACACATTCACTTGAAGCAACTATATTTGTTAAGGAAACTGGAAACATATTTTTTATCAAAAAGTATATGCAACATTTTCTGAAACGCATTATAATGTTAGTTGATGTGGTCAAGTTAATTAGCAAAAAAGACATGTTTTAAATTATTCATTACTCTATCTTTATAACTATTTTAAAATTTCCTCCATTAATTTATTTTGTATGAATTAACGAAGATAAAACATATACAGCAACTTATTTCAATAAAAATATTTTATTTATTTATTATTTTAGAAAGTACTTATTTAAAGATAGCTGTAAATGAATCTGATTTATAAAAATGGATCACAAACGATACTTTTGGATTCATAGGGTTCAACACACACACACACACACACACACACACACACGCACACACACTAATCTGTGGTGTATGTTTATGTAATTATAACAGTTATGTTCACCGACAAAGTATTTAGCAGTAGATATTTAAACTACAGTAACAAACTTATGAAATTCAGTACTTCTTTCACTTTTGTTATTTCAAAATGTATGACAAATGTTGAAAAAGAAATAAAAGTAATTTGAGCCATGAGGTCCATAATCTTGAATTATTGAATTCTGATAAACAACTGAGGTCAGGTTTGAAGCTGAAAAGCAATTTCAACCTGATTTTTTGAATTCAACTTTAAAATTACTGATAAAATATTTGTACACAAAATAGTGACAGCTGTCGTTCAAGACTTTTTATCAGCTGCTATAAAATGTGACTTTAGTGAACAGAAACTGCTCCATGTCAACATCAAGTCCAAGGGTCGTTTCAGCCTGCAGTAAGTGGATCATGAGAGTAAACGTGTTTCCTTTTTTACTCACCCCTGTCCGGAATTTTAATGTTGGTGTCATAAAGAGATTGGTTCTTCCGACCCAAAAAATGCAGCCCCTTCTTCATTGTTGACGTCGACTGACTTAATGCGCAGGCAGAAAGAACTGCTGTTTTTTTTTTTTGTTTTTTTTAACCAACCCTCTGGTGGGATCACTTGGTCATGTTGAAGTAAATCCGAGCTAAAGCAAAGTCAAAGCTGTCAGCAGGTGCAGCAGGAATGACTCTGCCTCAGGTATGCCTGTTTCTAGCAAACTTTTCAGGACAGTCAGATAAAATGGAGCAAACTCCGCCTCCTGTCCCTTTTTCGGAGCGCCTCCCTGTTTCTGTAGCCTTCCAGGCAGCGACAGGTGAGGCCCTGGCTCTCCTTTTCAGCCGCATTCCAGCACAAACCTCACCTGCGGAATGAATGGCCCGCTTTAAAGCCGCTCTCCGTTGCGCTGCGCAGCTTTGATTGCAGCGAAGTGAGTCAGTGAAAAATATTCATTTCAAAGCAGAACCTGGCAGAACCAGACAGGAGGAGAAATGTGGATTTAATTAACCTCATATAGGTATGTCCGCGGAAACGGCACACCATTCGACTTGAAATAAAAACTTGAAATATGAACTTGTTTTTGCTTATCAACAAGATAGAAGGAAATGATCTGCAACGTTCACTCTTATCTTGAGTGCAGAGTAATACTGCCATTCATGTCGTAAAGTAACTCCAGTCAAGTAAACAACTGAACTTTATAACTCAGGCTCACTGATGGGTGCGATGTTTATCATTTTTGCCCTACTTATTGTGCCCTGCGTTGCGTTTTATTTAGATTTGATATCATAGACAAATTAGTGCTGCAGGGGAGCAACAACGCCTGGCTTGTTGTGAATAAGAATCTGAAAAGTGTGGCGTCTGGATTCTACCAATCTCTCGCATCTGATAAAACATATTTGCAAAAATTTGCACAAGCTCGACTACGAAGACAGGGCCTGTTAGCTTACATGGTTAAGCCTTGCCACAGGTTCTCAATTAGATTGACTTCTGAACTTTGACTGGGCCATTCACACATTTACTCCAAGCCATCCTGTTGTGGCTGTGGCTGTGTGCTTGGGCTCACAGTCGTGTTTGAAGCCGAGTTTCACAACAGTGAAGACTTTTACACTCTCTAACGGGTTTTATTCCAGTATTATAACTCCCTGCTGAAGAGCAGCACGCCCATACCGCACAACATAATGCCACCAAAACCTGAGCAAAGTTCACCTCAGGCAAGCGTGAGAGGGCGTCTCTGTGTTGGCTTTGTGACGAACCAGAACCCTGTCCAGAATATAAGTCACCTACACATCACACACACAATGTTTACTTTTCAATTTCTTTGTTTTTCTTTTGCAACATTTTTAATTTGTGACAAAAATAAATGTTGTGTTTTGTTTTTTTTTGTTTTTTTTTTTGGTCTTTGCTGTTGCCAATACCTACAAGTAAATACATTCAAAACAGAAGGTAAGGTAATTTTACTTATATAGCACGTTTTAATTTATATAGCACATTTTCAGCAACAAGGCAATTCAAAACAGAAGGAAAATGATGGAAGAAATGTTGGAATATTTTGATGTACAAAAAGAAGCAGATGTGAATAAACAACTAAAATTGTAATAATTGCCTTTTTAGCACGACTTGACAGCATTGGTTCCAACACAATAAAACTACCACTAATCAGATAAGAACATATGATATGCAGAGATTATGCAAAGCAAAGATAGAACTGGCCCAACAGAGGGCCATGAGGGATCCCACAGCCGATTTCAGAAAGCCGCTAGAAACCAGGAAGTCCCCCCAAAGCAGCATTCATATCCCATTGTTTCTAAGCGGTTATGGTTTAAAACACAAGTTGCTTTAAAATGTTTGGAAAGATATAACTGTGCTGTTCCCAAACATCTGAGTGTGCTGGCGACGAGTTACAGTTGAGGAAGCAAAACCAATTATTTTCAAGAACGATCCAATCAATTTTCTGCTCTTCTCCGTTTCATTTATTCTGCTGGTTTGCTTTTAAATGTTCGTAGTTTTGTTGACATATGGACAAAATAGTTGGCACCTCAAAAACAAAAAAACAATGGTCACTGAAATAACTTGAAACTATTAAAAGCAATAATAAAAAAAATGACTAAAAACTGAACAATGATTTAAATGACAGTTTGGCTGTACCACAAAAACAAAAGTGAAAACAACAGTGACTTGTGCAGTCTTTACAAGGACTGGATATCCACATAATTTTTCATTCTGTTTGGTTATTTTATTACATAATAAAGTAAACAGCTTTCGAGCATATTTACTCTAAGAACTGGACGAGTGGTGAAGTCCTCATATGCCAGGCTTTGTATGACACAACAGCAAGGTTTGTTCAAGTATCCATGGAGTCCTCTTTGGTCTGTACAGTCACAGTTTGTCTTTCAAGTTTCTCCGTCGCACCTGAACATAGCTGTCCCGCAGACAAACCCCACTGGTCCATCCAGTTTCTCAATGTTTCGTGGGAATCATTTGTGCTGTTTGGAATAAAATGCAAGTAATGCTCTGCAGGAATTGTTAGTGCGCCTGGTTTCAGGGCAGAAGACATGGGCACTTTAGTTTCTACTGATTCCTCTTTTACCTTTTACCTCTTGATGGTTTTTTTTTTTTTTTTGTAAATGTCACATATTATTTTCCCATAGTCTTTTGAAGCAGTTTGACAAAGTCAATAAACATTTCATGATATTTTATTTAAATATGGGAGTGTTGTAATAAAACAGCAACTTTCAGACCAAATCTGAATATGAGTATCACGATGTCAACAATATTTAAAGCTGCAGTATGACTTTTATAAAAAATATGTATTTTTTTTTTTTACATATTTGTTAAACTTGTTACTATGTTGTGACAGAAAAATATGGGACAGATAACCCGGGATTGTGACGATCCCCTCCTGTCCAGTAGGTGTCTCTAGTCCTCTACTTGTTTGTTCTTGTTTTTTTCAGGAAGCAGGTAGATGGGCTGTTAATTGCATACACCGGCAGATGATAAAGGTGGACGTCTAGTCAGTCACTGCCTGCTTGATTGCCCTCCGGACCAGACCGGAACGAGCAGCATTGTTCCACACTTCTGTCTGACTGGCTGGCCTGATCTCACAGAGCGTATTTCTGTTATCAAATAAATTATTGTTTCTATAGATCCGCTCGTCTGTCTCCCTTTTTGTCCTCGCCTTCGAGCTGGGCGTGACAGGGATAAAAATGGAGTTCCTCTTCTTTCTCCTTATCGACCTGCTGTCATCTGAACAAATATGCTGGTCTGTCAGAGCCAACCAACCAGTCAGTGCCAGAAGGAGGATCTTAGCACTGTCGATCATCCTTGTGTACCTGCTGCTCGCACCCTCCCCTTTTTGCTCTGCTATGCTATATCTGGTTCACCACAACAGAGCCTGCTGTGCTAACTAGTTAGCATAGTCCCTGATGAAAGAGGATAAACAGTTTTCCTGGAACAGTAAGCTGTTTATTTGCCATTTGTAGCAGGTACGCAGGGATGATTGGCAGTGCTGAGACCCTCCTTCTGACTCTTATTGGTTGTTTTTGGTCTGGAGAGGTGGATTTCTTCAGACGGCAAAAATAGCTCAGGGAAGAAGTGAAGGAGCTTGATCTTTTCAGAGATTATCTGTCTCACAACATGGTGACACTTTCAACAAATATGTAAAAAACATATTTTTGTAAAAGTTACATAGAGTCCCTTTGATTGGACTCTGTATGCATACAAACAAGTGGGTATTTTTTATGCAAAGCTGGACTGAAAAGTGCAGCATGCATTCAAATTGAACACCTCCTTGTCAATACTTGGTAAAAATGAACATTTTACTGCCTTTCACAGCTTCAAGTCCTTTATCACATGTCTGTCTTTTTTGGAAAATAATTCAAGCTCAGTCAGATTGGATGGACATTTTTTGCATTAGTTTTCAAGTCTATCCACAGATTTTATTTTGTAAAGGAGTTATTTCTCATTTTTTTTCTCTTTGTGGCCTTGATTTGAAAGTAGTCTGACAGGAAAAAGGGGGAAGACATATGGCAAATGTCACGAGACTAATACAAAGATCCAGCAGGGTTTTATTAAAACCTGCGACAGGCTGTAGTGTAAAAAATGAAATGAGGAAATAAGATATTTTTGCATTCCATGATGATGAGACACAGGATAAAAATAGAAATGAAACCATAAAAACAAATTTATTGCACAGAGGATTGTGTGGCGGTTCAGCTACAGTGTGTTACTTTTGCACATTTTATTCCAAGGGTCAATGTGGTGCAGAGCTGTTTCCCTGCATTTGCTGTCACTGTGTTGTGCGGCTACTATCCTGCACATGAAGTCTGGCTATAGTCTTTCAATAGTTTGTCATTTATTGCTTCACATAAATTTGGTTGTCTGCAAAGTGTTTGGCTTAAAGTTGATTATTTTTATTAAGAGCCTGCCAGTGTAGTTTGTCACTGTGGATTTTAGTTGCATATTTCTGAATTTTTATGCTTTGAATAAAGCACAATATCTTTGAGGAAAACATGCAGTTTTGCCTGT